TGTCTCTCTCTGACTCTGTCTCTCTGTCTCTGTCTCTGTCTCTCTGTCTCTATCTCTCTGTCTCTCTGTCTCTCTTTCTCTCTCTCCCTCCCTCCTTCCCTCTCTCCCTCCATCTCTCTTGTTCTCTCTCAGCTCTTAGCTGGGGACATGGTGGGATGATGGTTTAAGAGAGCGTTTTACAGAACTGCGGTAACGATTTGATGGCTACTAAGTGATTCAAAAGTAGGTAGACTACAGGCATGGATTTCTTGGTTTGCTGGCTTGTGTCCTGGGTGGAGTACTTTGTGATTTCAATAAACTGTTCAGAAGGACGTGTAATCGTGCAACTGATGACGTCTTGATATCTAGAGTTTCCCAGTGCCTATTTTTGAAATGCAGTGGATGGTGGACAGTGAAGGACTTGCCTCTCCCTTCTTGGCCTGATCATTTTATGTATCTAAAGATGGAATATGAAGGATTGACCCTCACCCTATAGTCCCAGGCCCATACAGACACCAGGCAAAATCCCAAGTACATGTGAACTTGTGTGAAGTGCAGGTATGGTAATCCACCTAAGCCCAGCTGTAAACATCCCATTGTGGGCCCAACTGAAAGGCCCCCACCTTTGTTGACCTGGTAACTTTTTCATGAACCTCTGCCTCCTTGCTCAGACCTCCTATAAAAACCCAGCTCCTTCCTGTCCCAACACTCCGGCACAACCTCCAAATCCACACGAATGTCTGTGCCCCCCACCCCCGCTGTTCCTCAATAAACAGTCCTCACCTGTTGATGATCGAGTCCGGCCTATTCCTTTTCTGTTCTCCTCCATTTTCCTAACACACAGCTCAAATCGAGCAAAGGGAAATCACAAGTAAGGGGAGCCCACTGTACACATGCTACTGCAAGCTTGTCTCTGCCATGAGCACCCCAAACCAAGAGTGCACAGTCTATGGGGGAAAATGGCAAGTTTCATCTCAGTTGTGCTGCTGAGAAGTTAACTCCTCCAGGACCTGAACTTCTCTGCACAGCTTCTTTGGAAGCTTCTTTGGAACCATAGCTGCGAGGGTCACTAGGATCACTGGACATCATTTGAGAGGTGGTGAAACTGGATCAAGACTGGGGGAGAATGACCCAGTGCTGTCCACCCCCACCTCGTTCTCGCAAGGCTCAAGCTAGGCATGCGATTGTCAATAGCATCTGCCAATTACCTCCCAGTTCTCCTCTGCCCTGGGATACTGCTTGGGAGAGTGGGCAGAACAGAAAGTGAGTGCTGGCACCCAGCCATCTTCATATACCTGCCTCTCAGGCCTGCTCTTTAATACTCCATAAGCCCCTGCAACCAAGACCAAACAGGAAAGCTGAGAGGTGTGGTTCACATCTGTAATCATCTCATAGCTACTCACTCAAGAGGCAGTGATTGGGAGGATCATAGTTCAAAGCCAGCCCAGGCCAAAAAGTTTACAAAAATCTCATGTTGATCAGTAAATGACTGGATGTTGGGACACGCACCTGACATCCTAGTTAAATGGGAAACACAACAGGACTGCAGTCCAAACCAATCTGGGCAAAAATCAAGAATCCTGCAACTTCCTGGCATTATATCTTATAACATAAACAAAAGACAGAGCAGGAGCCCTTAGCCGAGACCTGCTGATCTCTATGAGAAAGAGCTAGAAAAAAAACAAATCTATTAACCTTCTGAAATGGCAGCCACTATTTTACATATACATAGGTTGTTTGAGAGCTATCCATGGCTTTTCTCAAAGTTTCAAAGTGAAGTCATTGTTAGAAAGACAGAAATTAATGGTATAGAGTAAACTTACCCATCATTAAAATATAGATCATAAATATGTATATATATGCATATATGTATAGATATATGTATGTGTGAGATACCATGATGAATCCCATATAAACAATTAACATGCACTTTAACATAGATGAAATGCATCCTGCCTGGAGTGTAGATACTTGGGAGTTGATGGAGAGGGTGAGGAGGGAAAATATGGTCCAAATACTTTATGCAGGTGTGTGAAAATGGAACAATGATGCTTACTTAGGTTCAGGAAGGGGAAGGGGAAGAGGGAAAAGGATGGAAGGAGTGGACATGATCAAGAGCCTTTGTGTACATTAATGGGCACATTGAAATAAAACCTCCTTGTCAAACTATTTGATACTGATAAACCCGAATAAAATTTAAAAAGAGGTCTATATTTCTACAAATCTCAAATGGGAACAGTGGCCTGATAATAAGAATAGATTCAATCTCAAGTACATCAGCTTCATGTTCAAACGTGGAAGCTGCCCCGTCTTTCTGAGAAAAGGAGACTTTACACAGACACAACTATGCTTTAATAAAAATAAGATATTCAAATGTGCTGACATAATCCAGTATCATGATTATCTTAACAATACATCTTTAATACTTTTGAAACAAAAGTAAAATTAAGACACATATTAGGGAGAGGGAAGCTTTTGGAGTTACGAATAAAATTCCAATTAAAGAACTCAGCAGGGCTGGTCTCCCCTAAAGAAGAAGTTTTCAGGAAATCCTTTCCTCTGATAAGCTGGCGTTTTTGTTTGCTGACATCCTTGACTGACATCCTGTGGCACCAGAATAAATGGAGTAACCGAGGAGTCATTGGAGAATCTATCTCCTGGGTCAACAGGCATGAGAAAACTCCATTAAAGAGGACCCCCCAAGACTCCCCCTTTACCTGACAGCCACTGCTTCTGCCTCCCTGGGTTTTCAGAGGCAAATGCCTAGAAAGGGAAGGAGGAGCCCCAAACCAGAATGAGGAGAGAGTCCTCAGATCCTGAATATACCACCAGCAGGTGACCACACACCATGGAAATCTGGACTGCACTGCCCAGGGATCGAATAGGCAGAAGTGGGACCTAGGGGCTCAAGAAGATGATTTCCATAAGCCAGGCCCTGACAAGGAAGGACAATGCCAATAGCCAACTCCCGACCCTAGCATCCCCAACAGTCTCCAGGGATGAACCAAGAAAAGAAAAGACGCATAGAGGGTGAAGTAGATGGAAGAAGGAAATCCATCAATCACTGCTGATCGTTTCTCTGTTGGGTAGCAGATTATTGTATTTCAACCAGCAAATCCTCTATGGGGAATAGAGTTTCTCTCTGTATTGGGAGATCAACTGAAAAACACAAAGATGGCCAACATGGGGCTAGAAGACCTTGGTGATTTGTGGCTGTGAGGGACATGGGAAGCAGAGCATCAGCTCTCCTCTCATTACACTCTTCAGGGAGGGAAAACAAACAGGAAAGAGAGGAAGAGGGGAGAGAGGGATTGCTTAGGGAAGAAAATGAGATAAGGCAAGTATCAGGAACAAACCTGGAGAAAACGAGGCTGAAATAAGCCAGACAACCAAAGACAAATACTATCTGATTCCACTTAGCAGAGGCCCCTGCAAGTTAGATAACAGAGACAGGAAGTAGAAGCAGGATTAGCAGGGGCTGAGTAAGGAGGAACTATTCACAAGGAACTATTCACTGGGCACTAGATTTCAGGATAGGCCACACTCTACAGCCAGGCCTAAGGTAGTGGCGTGACTCCTATGGTGGAGGAAGTTAGGCTAACACAGCGCAACTGAACTGTTCACTCAAATATTGCTAAGACACTAAAAGTTCAGACCATGTATTTTACCACAATTAAATTTTTTACAGAAAATTTTAAAGAAGATAAAGGAAGACTCCGTGTAGAGGCAGGACCTCAGGACCATGATAAACGAATGTGTGACCCGGGGTCACCCTAGAGCATCAATTCTTAAGAAAACGGGATGAGCCCCTGGACATCCACCCAGCACCATCCACTGCCTGCAAGTGAGGCCAGAGGCCCGCAGAACCCCATTTCCTCCTCACCTATCCACCCCATCTCCCTCAACATGGGGACCACTGTTTTCCTACCTTTCCCTCTCACCCCAACTCTTGCCAGTCACCCTGTTCTGCTCCTCCAAAATTAGAAGCCACTTACTAAATCTTGGTGTGTCAACCACAGTATAACAAAGTTAGACTGTAGCACATTTCCTCAAGTTAAGCTCTGGCAAAGTAGTGATACAGTTGATGCTAATTTCAATATTTAAAAATACGGTGAACTGTTATATCATAATCTGACTTGTAATGAAGGCATTGTGGTGAACCAAAAGCTTACAATGCTAAGTGAAGCACACTCCACCAGAATTCTTCATGCTAGTTACTTGGGAGGCTGAGAGTAGGAGGATTGTGCTTTGAGGCCAGAGAGGGCCAAAAGATGGAAACTAACATCTTGGAAGAAAAAAGCTGGATGTGGTGGTATGCACCTGTCATCCCAGCTACAAGGGAAAGCATAATAGCAGGTCTGAAATCCAGGCAAGCTCAGACAAAAGACAAAACCCTATCTCAAGAGTAACTCACAAACAAAGGGCTACAAGGGTGGCTCAAGCATAGAGTGCCAGCCTCATAAGTGTGAAATCCCAGAGCTCACACCCCACTGCATTTTTTAAAATAACAATAAAACTTTAAAAAGCTTGCTTTCTTGGACTAGAATCACACCACCTCCGTGTGATAACTGATTCTCAAGTGCTCTCCAGAAGTCTAGTGGATATAGTTGTCTAAAAGGTAATGGAAGAGAATTCCTATACAGTCCTTTAAAGCCTGGAGCCCAGGTCTGGGTGGTCTGAAAGTAGCTTCTGTAGGCCCCAGGTGAAAACTACGATGAGCTTCTCCTGGCCTCAGACTTCCTTCTCAGACACAAAGGCCAAGCTTTCTAATATGTGAACTTCCACCGCTGCAGCCCTCTGCAACCTAGTCCTACAGGATCCTGAAGCTTTCTCTCTCCGTCCCATGCTTAGTATCCCTGAGTGTTCAGGATCCACTCGGTTGTTTAATAAGGCCTGTCTTTCTCCAAGGAAGTAATTCAATCAAACAAACAAGAACAAACACAGAGCTTCTCACAAGCACAGAACAATAAGCCAGGGACAGGCAGCCCCAGTGAGAGGTGCCCTTGGCCAACTGTCGGTCACTAAGTGACAAGTTCCTTGTCCCCTCCCCTGTGGCTGCAGGGGACCTGGCTCTGCAGCTGCACTGAAGAAGATGAGGGACATCTTCTGGGTGGCATATGGTACCTCACTTTTTTCCAAAACTTGGTTTTGGCACACTGGGACTTCTCTGAGAAGTCCCCACGCCACTGGATGGCCCCATGTTTTTGTCGGATGTACTGGATTGACTCAGGCATGACACTGTAGTCCTCAATGGCCCCCAGCTCGATCAGAATGACCTTCATGCCATCCTGGATGAGGGCATTGTAGACAGCGATCTGTTCTTCGGACAAGTTCTTTAATAGGCCCAAACTCAGCGATTCTGGAGCTAAAATGACCATCAGCCTCCGGCACAGCTTGATATTCTCATCAATGACATTGGCCACAGCTGGAAAGAGAAAAGATTTAGAAGATCACATGATGAAAGCAGCGGAATCATTGTGCTAGCGAGAATGTGGAATTGACCCCTGGGGAAATGGACCTTAACATAAACATGACTGAGGCAAGAAGAGATGAACAGATATTTGTCACTACTCTATGAAGTCCTCTTGGCTTTGCTGAAGAACTGGCCTTCTATGCTCATGGAGCACATTTTTTGGTAGTCTGTGGCTAGATCTCTTTGTTCATCCAACAAGTGTGTCTCATGACAGTCTGGTATGTATTAGATGATGAATATATCTTTTTTGGATAAAAAAACAGTTTAAAAGAATGGGGGTTGAGTAAGTGTTATGTTAACCTTGTGTTAATACTCCTCTCTTGTTTACTACAGTTATTAGAACAGTCAGGATTTATATGACTAATTTATTAAACCGAATAATACAGTACCAACTGGGAAGGGAAGCGGAAAACCCTCTAAGCCCTCAGCTCTACAAGCACTCATTGACCTACAATCACATTCTATAACATATGAGTATTTACCATGATCACCTCTTAAGGACAGGTTCTTTGTCTAGCTGGCTTATTTTTGTATTTCTAGTGCTGGCAGCAGAACCTTACATACAGCGGTACTTGGTAAATATTTGTTGAATAAGCAAATGAATACTATTTCCTAGTGAGTAGAAAATATGTTATTTTAGTGTTCAGTTTTGTGTGTGTGTGTGTGTGTGTGTGTGTGTGTGTGTGTGTGTGTGTGGGTGTGGGTGTGCTAATCCTGGTGCTTGAACTCAGGGCCTGGGCACTGTCACTGAGCATTTTGTTGTTGCTGCTCAAGGCTAGCGCTCTACCACTGAGCCACAACTCTACTTGCAGTTTTTGGGGGGTTTTTTGGTGCTTAATTGGAGATAAGTGTCTCATGAGCTTTCCTGCCTGGGCTGGCTTCCATCTTTGATCCTTAGATCCCCATCTCCTGAGTAGCTAGGATTACAGGCGTGTTCAGTCATTGTATTGTGCAGTCCAGGGTATGAAATGGAACTCAGCTTCCTGTTGAGTGTGATGAGTGACGTGCGCCGTGCTGGTCTCCTCTGTTTGGTCCTCTGAGCTAAGTCGGGGAACCTTCCCCATTCCTGTTTTACACACCAACCCTGAGGTAAAGACTGACTGGATCCCCTAGAGGCACAGATACTCCTATTGGCTGGAAGAGGTGTAGGAAAACTTTCCATTTTGTTTAGGTAGAAACGAAGCTGGTGGGGTTAAGCTTTCTAAAACCACCTTTAAATAAGATTTTATTTGCATATTTCAACGGATGCAAAATGGCACTTATGGTCCATGGCAGGGCACTTGCTTCATTTCAGTCATTGCCATATCCCTATTCCAAAGTGAGACCTAGAGCATCACAGGTAGGAATCCCCAGCATGGAGCTGTAGCCTAAGCAAAGAAGAAAGTATGGGTCTACCACCGGACATAGAGGCTGGTGGCTCTGGTCACAGACTAACTTCAGGAAGGGAAAGCGAGCTGGCATCTGTGAAGGAAGAAACAGGTTCCCCCAAACACCTTCTATTTTCTTCAGAGAGGAGATCACAGTAAATCTCAGGCTGAACTTGAACTTGCAATCTTCTTCCTTCTGCCTCCCTGCTGCCTGGATTACAGATGTGATCCACCACACTCGGCCTCTTACTTTATTCATTTGCTGTCTTATACCTCACTTAAAACACACCTTGTCCAGGGAATTCATCCCTGCCAAATATAAATAGCTTGTATCCACACTGCTTCTCCAGCACCTCTGGCAGGTACTTCAACACCAGTGTGTCCACATCATGGCTCTGGCTTTCTCTCTGAGGCTTGGGATATAAGACGTAGGCATCATACAGCTTCCTGTCTGGAAAGGAAATGAAACAAGTTGGTGGAATGAATCTAGGCCATTTCCTCAGGTGAATAAATGGACACTTGACTTGCTACCACGATGCCCTTTAGGTTTGGGTTCAGTAACTTCTGAGCATGCCTCTAACGGACTTGGCACTGCCATGTCACTACATCTCATTCCTGCAGCTGACCTCTGACAGATGGGGGGAAGGGGCGTGGCCTCATCTCCACCCCTGGGGAGTAAAGCTGAGGCTGGACAGGTGGAATCATTCCTGAAATTCCTATTTCCATTCCAAGTCCTCTAGGCCTTCGTTCCTGCTGCCTGAGATAGAACTTAGCAGGTCCTGGGCAAGAAGCATGGTCCCAACTATACCACGAAAGATAGGTTGAATCACTCCAAAGTTAGATCCAGCAGCAAATTCACCATGGAGAAAATGAGCTACTGAGTATACTCTGTGGTACTGAGCACCCAGCCCAACATCACACACCCCCATGACAAGACTGAGCACATATTTACAATGCAGCGATGAACAAGCCACACCAATCAATTGTTCACAGACACGGAAATAAAGCAGCTTAAGGCACCACAAGATGACAACAGCTAAATTAACATAATCGACAGAAAGAAGGGCAATTCCCTCTCATCCCTCTCATCACCAAACCAATTCACAAAGGATGTGCACACCTCTTAGATCTGTCAGGCTGGGAAGGGTTCAGAAAAAAAGTGAGAGTCTGAGTGCAGGGTAAACAGGTGTGAGAGGGAACAGCTGAACACAGATGTGGAAGAGGGAACACTGATGCTGTGTCTGGGGTCCTGAGAATGGGTCAGCAACCTCAACAGGACTGGGGGCAGGGAAATGAGGGTATAATGCCCAGAGGTGAACCTTCACTAGAACATGGGATTTCCAGCTCCAGGCTGCTTGGAAATTCAAAGCCAGCCTAATGCGTGCCAAAAAGACATCTGATCTATTCCTTTTCCCTTTTTCATGGGAGGTTATTACGTTAAAAAAAAAACACTTGGAGAAAGGAGTTGTTCTAACATTGGCAAGTGAAGTAGACACTTTTGTATTCTTCCAGTTTTTGTCATCTGCACTCTGGTTAAAATGTATACAGAGCCTGTATCTATGCTGCCTTTTCTATTTTATTAGTTCTTAAACCAACCACTGCTGACCTTCAGGTCTCTTCTTGGGCATTCCATGAATAATGGTAATTCATGCAAACTCATGTATATACATGTTCACACACATGCTCATGCAGTTGTGCAAACACGCACATATAAATCCATGCACCATTATATGCACACATGCACATGCAATCGTGCACATGCTTACACACTCTTTCTGCCGCCTCACATCTTTTTTTTTGTTTTATGTTTTGTTTGTTTTTGGTCCGGTCATGGGGCCTGAACTCTGGGCCTGGCCACTGTCCCTCAGCTCTTCAGCTCAAGGCTAGCGCTCTACCACTTGAGCCACAGCGCCACTTCCGGCTTTTTTCTTTTTGCTTATGTGGTGCTGAGGAATCGAACCCAGGGCCTCATGCATGCAAGGCAAGCGCTCTACCACTGAGCCACCTTCCCAGCCCCCTCCTCACGTCTTGTCATGAAAGAGAGGTCAGGACTTAGCCTTCCTGCTGTACCTTCAATATGGCCCCTGTAGAGAGAAGTCTCAGTCAGTTCATGGCAAATATCTGAATGAAGTGTCATCTGACAGAGACTCCTCAAAGAGGCTGCATCCACACTGGGACAGGGCGTTTCTAAATCATGGGAAGATTCGGCTTTTTGTTGAGTGGGAATGTAGAGCATATATTAAAGGAACGATTGCTTTGGGTGTAGAGTTGGCCAAAACCCTAACAATTACAACCTCTGTGAAATCACCAAGTCTGAAATCACCAAACTGGACTACCAATTCAAAAAAAAAAAATGAATGCATTCCTATCTATAATTCAATGTCTCACATTTGAGTTTCCAAAGCTGGAAGGTTTTTAAAGAAAGAAAAAAAATGGAGGTGGGGGGGGAGGAGGGAAAGAGAGAGATATCAGAAAGTTCTCACATTTTCTACTTTTTTAGAAATAATTAAGTTTTCCCATGGAAAATTTTGGTATTGTTTATCCTTTTGTCTCTGAGGGAGTATCTGTTGGGCTGGTGTTTTGTCCACCCTGGATGGAGGTCTGTCCATCTCCAGATGAGGTGTTCCCTGATCTTTAAACTATGACCAACATCAGGCTTTCCTACTCCTTTCTCCTGACTATAGCCGATGCATCTCTTCTCTCACTCTATTGCTTTTCTTTCACGGGCTCAGACTAAAAACAAACCACACACTTTTGCTTAAGTGTTCTCTCTTTTGCATGCTTAGGTTCCATATTGTCTTTTCCTAAACCAGACAAGTTTCTAAGACAAAGGTTCTCCTCATGCCTGTAATCCTAGCTACTCAGGAGACTGAAATCTGAGAATCCCAGTTTGAAGCCAGCCCAGTATGAAGCCAGCCAAGCAGAAAGGTCTGTGGGCTGGAAATGGAGCTGTAGTTTAAGTGTTAGAGCAGAAACCTTTAGCAAAAAAGCTCAGGGATAGCACCCAGGCCCAGTGTTCAAGCCCTTGGCTGGAAAAATATATATAGAAGAGTTGGGGCAAAAAATTTTGCATCTTTCAAAAAAACTCTAAATAGAAAAAAGTCTCAATGCCTTGGTCATTTTTTTCTGACTAAGCTTTTCCATTATGTTTTGTTCCTCTCTATGCTGGGGACTAAACCCAGCTAGGCATGTACTCAAGCACTGAGCTATATTACCAGCCTTCTGCCTAAGCTTTTGCATGAAAATATAGCTTCTTCTGTCTTCTTCCCAAAATGCAAGGGTTGCCACCATTTTCAAATGATGAATTTGTAATTCACTGACCAACACAGTAAAAAATTTTGCTGTAAGCCTGGTGCTGGTGGCTCACACCTATTTACTCAGGAGGCTATCTGAGGATTGCAGTTCAAAGCCAGCCCGGGCAGGAAAGTCCATGAGACTCTTATCTCCAATAAACCACTCAGAAAACCAGAAGTGGCACAGTGGCTCAAGTGGTAGAGCACTAGCCTTGAGTTGAAGAGCTGAGGGACAGTGCCCAAGCCCAGAGTTCAAGCCCCATGACAGACAAAAAAAAAGATGTTGCTGGAGCCTTTTGGCTTTTTTGCTTCTGCTCCCTAATTTTATTCATTTTTTTTTCCTTTTGTGGTGGTCGTGGGGCTTGAACTCTGGGCCTGGATGCTGTCCCTGCGCTCTTCAGCTCAAGGCGAGCGCTCTACTTCTGGAGCCACAGCACCACTTCCGGTTTTCTTGTGGTTTATTGGAGATCAGAGTCTCACAGACTTTTCTTCCTGGGCTGGCATTGAACCTCGATCCTCAGATCTCAGCTTCCTGAGTAGCTAGGATTACAGGTGTGAGCCACCGGTGCCCAGCTTTAATTTTATTCATTTTATTTTAGTTTGTTTATCTGTTGTGCTGATCCTAGGTCTCCTGCTCTCACTTTGCTTTTTTGTTCATTGCTGGCCCTCTACTACTTGAACCATGCTTTCATCTTTTTTGCTGGTTTATTAGAGATAGAGGCTCATGGCCTCTTCCTTCCAGACTAGCTTTGAACCACAGTCTTCCAGTTCTCAGCTTCCTAAGTATCTGTGATTACAGGCACAAGCTACTGGCCCCCAGCCAGCCCTTTGACTTTGAAGAGTCAGGTTCAGTAATGGCGCCAAGCCCTCTCGGCTTTGTCTCCCCCAATCGCAACTGTGAAGGACACAGGTGAATTTTCAGTGTTTAAGAAGGCAGGTGAACCCAACAAAGATAGAATAATTTCTCCAAAGCACACAGCTTTAATCTAAATCTGAGCTCACCGTCATCTATGATGAGGCCAAAACAAAATCTGGAAGCAGGAAACTTCAAAAAGCTCACTCCTGTTTAGCAATGTGCAACTCTCCCTGACTACATTCTCCATTCATGGCCTCCTGGGCAATGCTTCTGATCTTACGTGTCTTTCAGACTTTGCCACATCCTCACAAAGAGACAACATGTGCTTATGTCTAGTCCTTTGACATCAGGTAGGCATCTGTAACTGAATCTAGAACCATATACTGGAATTGACAGTAGAAATCCAGCTGTAGATAACACAAGAAAACATGGCTTTGCTTTGACTCTCTGACTCTTGGAACCCTCACTCTGAAGAGCTAGGCGCTTATGTGAGAAAGCCCAAAGTAGGCCACCTGGATTGACTGCTAGGAGAGGCTCCTGGGGAAGAAAGGTTAGGTTACTAGGCGAAGGCAATTTCCAGTGGTCCAGCTGAAGCCTTGGACCTGAAAGAGGCCCACCGTGCTTATCCACATTATTAGCCCAAAGATTTCCTAAGTATGATGAGTGATTCTTTTAAACCAGGAGGTGCTGAGCTAGCTTCCTACCAGTTGCTAGAATAGCAGCTAGGGAGGTAACAGAACAGTAAATGGGGATGGGTTAGATACCTCCCAATGACCTTTTCCATTAAGAAATGTTCAGAAATTTCAACTCACTACACAGTGTTCTGAGGAAACTGGGCCATGCTAGCCACCTCTCACACTGCCCACTCTCTAGAAAGGGGAGGTGACTACAGTTTCCTCATGACCAAGCTCTTCCATTTTCAAGGAGATTCAACTCTGCCTGTGATGTTAAAGCTCTCTATCTATCCCTGTTAGCATATATAGATGAACGCATTCATGTTATATATTTTATGAAAAACACACAAAATACATTTGTGTAAACTAATATTGTGTAATTGAATACTTTTGGCAGTCTGAAAGATTGTCAAAAGATTATTTGATTCTCCATTTTCTTTCAATGTACTATTGCTACATTTCAGACTTGATCAACTCAGAGCTGTAGAAAAATCTGAAAGGTTCAATTTGACCTTTATGTAAGTACCTTAAACTGAATTTCATGAGAGTGGGTGTGTTTATCCCGGCATGCATAGAAGACACTAGAAAACAAGCCACATAAAACATACCATCATAGGTACCATGAGAATATTATTGTGGACAAGATTCCTTACAATAAACCCTTTTAAATCAGGACTCTTTAACATATCCTTTGGAAATAAGTCGCAGAAAAATCGAGAAGTTCTCATAAGCAGTTGAAGGATTCTTGAGGACCAGCATATAATAAACCGCCTTTGCTTTGACTTTGAAAGCAAATTTGCCTTTAACAACTAAGAGGTATCATTAGCTCTGCTGAACCCTGACTTATTTTACCATTCTCCATGTGTTTCCCTTTGTGTCTTGTTTTCGTTTTGTCAAGCTACCTCGAGTAAGAGGAGACACACATTTGCATAGATGTGTGTACAGATCCTGCCGTTCTGGCTCACACATGCACACCTGATGGGTGAATTCAGAAAAATCCCTATGACTTGAAGAAACAGAACACCCTGGCTTCCACCAGACTCATACTAAAACCACAAGTTACATTCACCTCATAAGGGTGACTGACCTCCTCTGAGCAAGTGATTAATCCCAAGGACATGTCTTCCCTGTATTCTTCTTTTCACTGACCACTTAGTACGCTGTGTTCCCAGAAAATCAGCAAGTTTCCTCAGAAGTTATAAACTGGAATCTGAGAATAACCTCAGAGTCTCTTCACTGGCTCATGGTTAAAGCCAACACTCAGAGAGCTACTTACTGCAGGGTGGTTCTTGTGGACTGAGGGTTAGAAACCTTCATCACAAGCAAAACATACACTTCAGGGAAACTAAAGGGGGAAAAATGCAAAAACAACAACAAAAAGAACAGGAAACAAGCCTGTCAGGTCTTCTGATGAGATCCTCAGGCCAGCCAGCACATGTCTGGCAGAAGCTGTGCTGTGGCTGGCCTCATCAGTGGGCGGAGCTCCCTGAATCTTATCTGCTGGGTGAGTCACTACTCCCCTTCCCACTGCTAACCTCAACCTCACTGACAGGCAGCTTCATCAGGGATTCTGCATAGCCTTAATCACAATTCTGGGAGTCCCAGTGAGTCAGTGGGACAAATACCAAGGGGCCAGAGCAGCCTAAGCTTCCAGAAAGAGCCTGTAAAGCAATACAGTCCCCTGTTTGTCAGGAAACAGAATGCAATCAAACTCCTCTTATCTATGTCAGAAGAAATCAGCAGTGGGGAGCCAATCACTTTGTCAGAGGCAGCCAGGGCAGCTGGGATGTCACAGAGGTCTAGGAAGGGCGGCCTCTGCCATGACCACAGCCAGAACCAGAAATGCACACACCTCACCTAACCATCTACGGTGCTAATGAGTATGTCGGGTGGGGGCACCTGCATTTTGTCAGCCCCGCGGCTTTCATGGATTTCTATGTTGCTCAAGGCTTGCCAATTTGGGAGTTGGGGGGGGGGGGGGGAGTTGGGCATGAGGGTTGTGCTGAGGATGGAAGCCATAGCTTTGCACATGACAACCACATAGACTCCAGTCTAATTTGTGTGTGTGTGTGTGTGTGTGTGTGTGTGTGCGCGCGCGTGCGCGTGTGTGCTTGTCTGATTGCCTTCCTGCCTGCCAGTTCTGGGGCTTCAGCTCAGGGCCTGGGTGTCATCCCTGAGCTTTTTCATGCAAGACTCTCTACCACTGAGCCACAGCTCTATTTCCAGCTATTTTTTTCTTTTTTTTTTTAAATTTGTCATGGGACTTGAACTCAGGGCTTGAGCACGGTCCCTAAGCTTTTGTGCTAAAGTCTAATGTTCTCCTACTTGGAGCCATAGCTCTACTTCCAGTTTTCTTATTGGTTAGTTGGAGGTAAGAGTCTCACAGACTTTCCTGCCTGGACTGGCATTGAATTGTGATCCTCATATCTCAGCCTACTGTGTAGCTAAGATTACAGGCATGAGCTACCAGCACCTGACCATTTCCAGAATTTTTGGTGGTTGACTGGAAATGAGTCTCACAGACTTTCTTGCCAGACTAGCTTCAAACCATAATGCATAGTACTCAGCTTCCTGGGAGCTAAGATTACAGGTATGAACCACTGATGCCTAACATTAATTTTGATTTCTATACTAAATTTGGAATACATTTCAAGATAGAGCACCTGTTTTATCAAATGTGGGCAATAATTGGTGCTATGATCTTCATAGGCAAGCAGGAGTGAAGACGCACTTCTGTGTTCTAGCAACTCTGAAAGGAAGCTTTGGTAGCAGTTCCTCCTCTCTCTGGTCAGCAAGTCTCTACCTAAGATGGTAGAAATTTGCTCCTCTCCACATTGATCAACTGTGTAAAAACTTTTTTGGACTCCTCCTCAAAGTTTTCAGGCAAATGGAGGATGTTAAAACAGATGTATTTCTCCTTTTTGCAGCCTTTAGGACATCAAGTCCATTCTGAGATCCAAAAGGAAAATCACCATCACAATGGTGATCAATGTTTATCCCTTACAGTGTTTGTGTATCAAATAGCGCTGGCACGACACAGGCACCACTAAGGCCCCAGAGCATGATGACCAGGGCTTGTTTTCCCCTCCAGACACTAGCAATGGAGCCCCTGTGCCACAGGTTCCTCTTTCTTAGCTTCAGCTCAGCGACTCCTTCAGCACCATGTGAAGGAAATTTGGTCATTCTTCCTTCCATCTTTCCCTCCTTTCTTTCCCTCTTTCTTCCTTCCTTCTCGCCTTCCCTCCTTCCCCTCTTTCCCTCTCTTCCCTCCATCCCTCATTGTTTCCTTCTTTTCTTCCTTTATTCCTTCCTTCTCTCCCTCCCATCATTCCCTTCTCTCCCACCTCCCCTCTATTTTCTGTTCCTTTTTTTCTTCCCTCCCTTTGTTCTCTGCCTTCCATTCTTCATTCTTCCTTCTTATGGTTAGGAAATAGAAGGAAATTATCTGTCTCTCTAATTTCACACAGAGAGTACATGGAGAACTCAAAATTCAAGTTCAGACGCTTCTTTCTCCATCTGTGATAGATCTGGACACTTAAGTCCCTCTGGGTACAAAACCAGGTAGTCCTTGTTCTCTGTCCTCTCTCTGAAAACATGCCATGGTAGACAGCACTTAGTGTAAGCACCAAAGAATGGGAGACCTTCTCACACAGCTGCAGTGGGCCCAGGAGGAGCCTTCTCCTGCTGCTTCACTACTGTTTCCCCAGAACCTGTACGCTGTATTTGACAAAGATGCTGATCGTGGACAAAATCATTTCTTTGCAGCCTAAGGATGTGCCGGAAAGATTCTCACAGCCAGAATTGCCAATAAACATGACAGTCCTGCTTAGCAAACATGACAAAGTACATTTCAAATGGCCATACAGCTTAGCAGATGCCAATTTTGAGACGTGTTTTGTGAAACTTACTCACCTTCGATGGCCCCCGGAGAATAGAAGGCACTTCGATACCAAAGTACCAGGTCAATCTTAAAATTGTTGTAGATCAGTAGAACAGATACAACCAAAATTGCCAAGGTGACTAGCCCTCCTATCAAGTAGGCTTGAAAATTTGGAGCTATAAATGACAGAGGGAAAAAAATCTCAGTAACACAAAAAGGTCTATTAGATCCCTTAGGTATACAAAACACATTAGAAACATTAGATTAAAATATTTTAGTCCTCAAGGGGAATACTGTCTCAATATTTCTTGATAGTTCCATAATAGACACAGGCTTGAATCAAGTGGGTTCTTGGGATCTTGTGAGAGGAGAGTTCTGCAGGGTGCTGGTTACAGATGGTGGACATTAGAGGACTCCCATTGTACATGAGCTGATTTCAAAGCTGCATGTCCAGAAACCACGTGGTGAGCAGGAGGCTCTCCAGAAGAGGATCTGGCTCTTGATTTTAGTCCTGTTAGGCTGCTTTCAAGTCCCTCAAGTCTGAACAGTATTAAGTCTCCTCTCTAGAAGGCACCATCGACTATCTCCTTAGAAGCCATCTCTCCAGCTCCATGAGGTGGATATTGAGTCAATCCCTCACCCAGAACTCTTAGGTCATCAGTGTCAAGGCTGGGTGCCTATTTGAGAGACATTCCCAGAAAAGGTGCACAGGGCCAGTTTTGCTAGGGAGCATGCTGCAGGACAACTGTGAGGGCGGAGGTGGGCAGGAGATGACTAGAACAAAACCAGTTCCTCTGGATTTCTGAGTCCCCAGCCATCTCTCCCACATACCCAGAAGAGGAACCAAGCAGCTCTCTAGCCTTGCCACAGCTCAAATCTGTGCTACCCAAGAAGGAGTCTCTAGGAAAGAAGGAATGGAAAAGGGAACAGGGAAAAGGAAGAGAAAGCCTCTTTTTTTCTAGATTCCACCTCACCAGCCACTTCTTTCTGGCCCTCCCAACTGGACTTGAAGGTGGGATAGGGGAGGAGGTAGAAGAAGAAGAGAAAAGAAGAAAAGGTGAGAAGTGTTTTTTTTTTTCTGAAGTCTCAGAGTACTCTCATTTTTTAATATATCCTCTTAGGAGCTTATTGCTATCTGTCTCAGCCCACACTATAAATATCTTGAGGCTCAAGACTTCATGTGTATTATTGCTTGTCTTAGATGTACAGCCTGATTGAGTCCAACAATGGGAAATTTGCTTGATACCCCACCTGAGAGAGAAAGAGAGGAGACAGAGACAGAGAGATAATAGATATCGGATAGATAATAGACAGATAGATGACAGGCTTGTTTGTATATTTTATATAATACTCATCTCCATATAGGGATATCCATAATTATAGACAAATACATCCGGCAAGGTCCAGTGCAGCCTGTTGAGACAGCTGCCCACCCTGGTGCCCCAGTCCTGTCCTGGTCTCTCCCAGCAACCTCTCTCTTCTAACCATGAGAGGGAGTCTCCCTTACTTCCATCTTTTATTTCTCTCCGGCAGTGTTATGGGAGTGATATCACCACCTTTTCCTTTTGGAATAGTAGTTGTGTCTGGGGAACGTGTGTGTATATTTCAGAGATTTTTTTTTTTAGTATTGCAAATAGCCAAGCCAGGAAGACCATGTCCACAATATTTATGAGATTCAAAGAACCCCTGGCAAATAGACAGGAGTGATGCTCTGAAATTCCGGAGTTCATCATTTATTATGTTGAGGAGTAGCGATACCATCTGCCCTGTTTCATTAGAATTGGAACATTAATGAATAAGGTGAAAGGAAGTAGATACATTGAAATACAAATAAGAATACCCCTATCCAAAATGCTATTTACCACTTGAGATCATGTGGCTACCAGCAGCTTTCACCTGAGATGACAGAAAGAGAAGTGACCAAAAGAAATTACAGAAGCACACAGCCAATATAAACAACTTTCTAGTCAACCAGCTTCAAACAAAGCAAGTATGATTCAAACCTAGAGGTGTCTTCAAGAAAAATGAGGAAGTCACATGGAGAAGTGGCCAGCCAAGTATACCAGCAGTAAGCTTGGGTTTAAGAGGGTGTTATTGGGGTGCGGGGTGGGGGGAAGAGTAGTTGTGGAAGTGGAAGGGGATGGTAGGGGAACAACAAAGGAGGAGGCAACAGTGCTTGATAAGAAATGTACTCATTACCTTGCTCATGTAACTGTAACCACAAAGGAAGATGCAACAGTGCTTGATAAGAAATGTACTCATTACCTTGCTCATGTAACTGTAACCCTTCTGTACAGTATTTTTACAATAACAACTTATTTTTTAAAAAAAGAGGGTGATATTTCTAGGTACTCAATGCAAATAAAACAATGTGCACTGTGCGAGGCATGTTGGTAGGAGCCAAGATGAGTTTAGCAAGAAAGAGCTTCTTAATCAGCTTAAAAAATGGTAAATAATCCCTCTTCTTCCCACATGAAAGACAGGTGTCAACAGATAACAGCATTAGTTCCTCTGAGGCCGAGATTGGCCCGAAAATTCTTCTGAACATAGCATTTTCAGCTAGTCAATACTCAGAGATCAGAACTCTCCATTAGTCAGCTTTGGGATAGGTTACCAGATAAAGCTCTCAAGGTTACAGATTGAGGCAGATTCAAATTATGACCACTTCAGATTCCATGGAATCTCCAAAGTGACCTATAGTTTTCCCTCTTTCTTCTCTGGTGGCCCTGTGTCTAATGTAGATGGCCTAAAGCAAACTACATGTCTGCTAGAAGACAGGGAATTGCCAAAGTGTAGGAGACACCTGAAGATTCTTTGCTGTTCGATGGATGAAAAATCATTCTGTCCTTGCTGTCTACAGAAAACTATGAGGCCCACAGAAGGCCATTCCTCATTTCTGATCTGACTCTGTTCTCCATGGAACATAGGAGACAGGAAATGAATGGAAGAGGTAGATTGGGGAGGCCCTGAGTTCCAAGCCAGGTGTGTCAATTTCATCCCAGGCAAAAGAGGTGGCACTGATACCCATGCAGAAGACTGGCAGAATGACAGCTATCCTTAGAGATACAAATATAATCACCATTACTAGAAGATATATAGTATATAGTAATACATGTACCATATATTTATAGTATCTTGGCCAGAGTCAGTAAATGCAAAGAGATGAAAAAATGCAAGTTTTTAAGACTCACTAAATGTGAGTCCTAAAATTATCTTTGCCAAATTATTGCAAATTATCTCACTTGATTCCCTCATATACTATTGGGGACAGGGCATAAATTGGGGAATAATAATATGGCATTGTAGGAAAGCTAACGACAGACCCTCATTTGGTCATTCTATTCTTGGTTATATAGCATAAAGAGATACTTTGACATGCTACCAGGAGACACATACAAAGGAATTTTTATATATTATTTGTTAAGAGTCCCAACCTGGAAGCCACTCAAATGATCATGTAACTATTGTAGAATGAATAAAGAGTGACCCAGTTGTTCAGTGGATTAACAGTCCTCAATGTAAAATGAATGGACCACAGTTACACACTACAACATCTGTGCACCAACACACCCCAGAACAGCAAAGAGAAGAGGTACAGCATAGAAAAAAATCATATCATCTAAGTCTCTCAAATCCCCAAAAAAGGGCAATACTTTATTGCAATTTTAGGGCTAAAAGCAAGAATGGAAAGGCAAAGAAATGACTTTCCTGGAAGTTAGAAGGAGTTATCTAAATAAGAGAGAGATATTAAATCAGTAAGAATATATGGGGGGTCTCTTCAGATCTGATAATGCTTTTTTTTTCACCTAGGTGGTGGTTTTATATGCATTTGATATATGGTAATTTTATGTGCTAAATATGTCTATTGTTCTTCCCCTATGTATGCGACACTACACAATTAAAAATTAGAAAGAAAATCCAACTCATTCCTAACAACTGTCCTCTAGGGAAGGTAGTATCAAAATCCCACTACACAGATAAGGAAACCTGGGCACAGAGTTGTTGAGAATCAGTTCTGTGGCTACACAGCTAAAAATTTTGAGGCAAGTTATCTGAACCTGATAACTGAACCTTAAAAGATCTGAGTTGAAAATGCTCCACCATTTAGTGGAATGGAGAGGAGTGGGCACATGACACAGGCAGGTCCTGTGGAGGAAGACTATAGAACTCAGGAGTTCATTGGGCATTGTCATAAAAGAAGACGGGGAAAGGATCAACCAGACCCCAGATCTTGAGTCTGAATTACCTGGAAGACACAGGGGTACCATTAGCAAAGAGAAAAACTGAAAGAGAACCATGATGTTTGAGAGGACAAACTTTCTAACCTGAGCTGATATACCTCCACCCAACCCACACTAGGCAAGACAGAGCTGCCATGTGAAGAGAGTAGAGATTTGGAATTTGTTTCTCTCTACCTGTACTGAAATGATATGTGAAGCCACAGAGGAAAGAAGGTCAACAGAGATGACAATGTAGAAAGAATCCCAAAAGGTGCCACCAAAGGATGAGTGCACGTGAGCAACTAGGGGGAAGTAGTGCAGTGAACTGAAAGCCAGTGAACAGAGGAAAAACAGGCAAAGGAAAAGGATGAGCCTGAGACTCCTCCCACCTGATATGGCCCACAGTGTCCACAGAGCCTAGAATGAACGTAACTAACAGGTGCTGTGTGCTCATGCTCAGTTGGCGCAGCTGGGATATGGCATGAACTTAGCCTCCAAGTCCCAGAAGAGAGGGAGAAAATGAGTGCACAGTAAACTACAAGCTGGTGTGGACATGTCACTATTTCTAGCTACTCTTGAGAGAGAGATGGCCACTCACAAGTCCTGATACCAGCAGAAGGAAAAATATGTCTGCTAACTCACGCATAACCCACTACACTTGATATTAGGTTCTGGAGAAGTATACCTACATGGTGATTCATGCCTTCTCTCTAGTATATAGCTAACCTCTCTCTCTTTTCATATATCCCCCCCCACACACAGACACACACAGAATAATAGAACCAAGATTGCCTTGGTAAACCACATAACTATCTCCAAGGCACTTCATGCAGTCCCCTGATACGATGCAGAATTTAAAGAGGTTCACAAGGTTATGATTTCACCTTCCATTCTCCACTCTGTCTTATTACTTCCAATTAATAATCAAAATGCTCTGTACAAATCTAGGTGCTCATGCCCATAATCCTAGCTACTCGGGAAGCTGAACTATGAGGATCACCATTCAAAACTAACCAGAGCAGGAAAGTCTATAAGACTCTTATCTCCTCCAACGAGCAAAACTCCAGGAGTTAGAACTGTGGCTCAAGTGTTCAGCGCCAGCACTGAGTGACACAACTAAGGGACAATGCCCAGGCCCTGAGTTCAAGCCCCAGTACTGACGTAAAGGAAATGTTCTGTATAGTGTTAGGTGCAATTTATGTACACACTTGGAGCTGGAACACCTCCTGCTCAAATATCAGAATTAGAGATACTTTTGCAAAGTCACATGGCAAAATTACACATAAGCATTTCATTGTATGTCAAATTACTGTATAATAAACTAGAAGATAAAAGTCATAAGTGAATAGTTATCAAAGTTGAGCAATCCAGCCTGACATAATAAACTGCACTCTAAGGTGCATGTCTGACGCTGCACTGTTTCCTTCCTAGCGATCACCACTGGGTTCTGCATTTAATATCATCATCTTGCCCCACGCCAAGCATGTGACATCCCATCTCTCTTATGTGCCTTTCCTTGCTATCACTTTGTACCCTCTAAACAGTATTTGAAACATAAGGCATTAATTACCTGGCAGCCTTAATACAATGTATGCGACAGATACTCCAGCATGACACATGAAAGGTATGCCATAATCTTCCATCTTCACTTCCAGGAAGGTTATGTTTACTGTGTAAAAATTGTGGTCTGGAAAAGAAACATTGGTTCTGTAAAAAAAAAAAAAAAAAACAAAGGGGGGGCAATCATTAATATGCAAATCTTATTTACCCAAAAAACTTCATAATCATCATTCTAAATGCTCTGTCCTGGAGAACATTTTGGACCATCCTTTTTACCCTATGAATGCCTCATCCAGTGGCACAAATAAGTGTTTACATTATGCATTATGTAGATACAGATTTGCGTTTTCTTCTGGATAGTTGAATGAAGAGTGACTGTGTGTGTGTGTGTGTAGGGCGGGGCGGGGGGGGGGGGTAAGCTTTGCCCAGTTTTCCTTGTCAGGCTCTTTCTGCTCTCAAGTTACTAGTAACTGTGACCTTTCTCTCTCATCTTAGGCTAGTTTTGCTGTTTAAGCCTTGAAGGTTTATGGTTGTTTATATGACTAAATGGGGCAGCCTAGACTTGAGTAGCAATTGAGAGAAGTAAGGCATGCTTCACGTTTTGCCACATGTCCAGAATTAAGTTGGGATCATTAATAACATGCATATCTCACACTTCCCTAAAGCAAGGGCACACAAGGATCTTCGAAAGACAAAGCTAAGAGCAGTAACAAGAAGGCAGAGGGTAATATCAGCAATTTTATACAGGATGGGAAACTTTATTAAATGCTTTTTTTATTGCAAAGATATTGTACAGAGGGGTTACAGTTACTTGAGCAAGGTAATGAGTCCATTTCCTATCGAGTACTGTTACCTCCTCCTTTGTGTTTTCCCTACCCCCCCCCCCCCCCCCCCCGCACCGACTTTTGCTGGGTTTAGAGAAACACCTACTCAACTCCTTCTTGAACGCGCTTGGAGTCATTGTAGTAATCATCCACCAGACTGTTGTTGAATTTCCAGCATCGCAGGTTCGTGTTCTCCTTCACATCTGTTATATTGCAGTCCACAATGAGGCGGGAGCCTGGAGCAATCAAACTCAGAAACGTTAAATGTGGAGTCTTGTGACTCCATACTGCTTTCCAAAGTGGTTAACAAGTTTACACTCCCACCAACAATGCACTAAGGTTCCCTTCTGTCCACATTCCCTCCAGCATCTGTTGTTATTAGAGTTCTTGATTATAGCCATTCTAACTGGGGTGAGGTGGTATCTCAATGTTGTTTTGATTTGCATTTCTTTTATGACTAGAGAAGTTGAGCATTTCTTCATGTGTCTATTGGCCATCCTTCTTTCCTATTCAGAGAAGTTTCTCTGTAAGTCTTTAGCCCACTTATTTATTGGGCAGTTGTTTCTTTGAGATTTGTTGTTGGGAGATTTAATTTTTTGAATTCCAGGTATATTTTAGATATGAGACCCTTGTCTGTTGTATGGCTAGTGAAGATCTTCTCCCAATCTGTGGGCTTTCTATTGATCTTGCTAGCTATGTCCTTTGCCATGCAGAAGCTCTGCAACTTCATGCAATCCCATTTGTCCAACCTTTCTTTGATTTGTTGTGTTTCTGGGTCTCTATTAAGAAAATTTCGGGCCAGGCACCGGTGGCTCACGCCTGTAATCCTAACTACTCAGGAGGCTGACATCTGAGGATAGCGGTTCAAAGCCAGCCCAGGCAGGAAAGTCCATGAGACTCTCTTTTTTTTTTTTTTTTTTTTTGATCAGGTTGTGGGGCCTGAACTCTGGGCTTGGGCGCTGTCCCTCAGCTCTTCAGCTCAAGGCTAGTGCTCTACCACTTGAGCCACAGCGCCACTTCCAGCTTTTTTCTTTTTGCTTATATGGTGCTGAGGAATTGAACCCAGGGCCTCATGCATGCAAGGCAAGCGCTCTACCACTGAGCCACCTTCCCAGCCCCATGATACTCTTATCTCCAATGAAACTAGAAAACCGGAAGTGGCACTGTGGCTCAAGCGGTGGAGCGTTTGCCTTGAGCTGAAGAGTGCAGGGACAGCACCCAAGCCCAGAGTTTAAGCCCCAATACCAACAAAATAAATTAAATTAAAAAAAAAGAAAAAGAAAATTTCGGCCTGTGCCAAGGAAACCTAGGGTTTCTCCTATTCCATCTTGTAATGTTTTCAGGGTGTCTGCTTTGACTCCAAGGTCTTTGATCTATTTGGAGTTGATTCTGGTTCAGGGTGATATATAAGGATCTAGCTTTAGTTTTCTACAGGTGATTAACCAATTTTTCCAGCACCATTTATGGAAGAGGCTATTTGTTTTTTCCACTCTAAAGACTCCACATAGAGCTCCCCTATTACCCAGCAATCCCACTTTTTGGGCATTTACCCAAATGATCACAAACAAGATCATGCTAAACAACTATGTTTATTGCAGCATTATTTACCATAGCTAAGATATGGAACCAACCCAGATGCCCCTCAGTAGATGAATGGATCAAGAAAATGTGGTATATATACACAATGGAATTCTATGCCTCCATCAGAAAGAATGACATTGCCCCATTTGTTAGGAAATGGAAAGACTTGGAAAAAATTACAGTAAGTGAAGTAAGCCAGGCCCAAAGAAACATAGGTCCCATGGTTTCCCTTATTTGCAATAACTAGTATATATGTCTGGGACAAGCAGAAAAGCTCAGATAAGATGATGTTAAGTGAAATGAACCCCAAGATAAGGACACAAATGGTTTTTTCTTCCTTGCTATTGTTTCTAACGTATTTATAAGGAACCATGTGATTTTTTTTGTTGCTTTGTATGTCCCTGCCCCATGGTATAATCACTATTTTCACTGTATTTGATGTTGGTATAATTTGGGGAGGGGAAGGGAAAAAACAAAATGTTTAAATTAGGATAAGATTGGCCCACTGCAACAATGAGATGTACAAGACACTATGCTGCAAAACAAACTTTACAATTTAGGTGGGGGTAGGAGGGTTGGGGAATGTAGTTGAGGAGGTAGGGGGGACAGGATGGTAGGGGAAAAACAAAGGAGGAGGCAACAATGCTGGATAAGTAAGTGAAGTAAGCCAGACCCAAAGAAACATAGGTCCCATGGTTTCCTTTATTTGCAATAACTAGTATATGTCTGAGTCAAGCAGAAAAGGTCAGATAAGTTGATGTTAGGGAAATGAACCCTAAGATATGTATTCAAATGTTTTTTTTTCTTTCATGCGATTGTTTCTAACACATTTATAAGATGATTTCTTTGTTGCTTTGTATGTCCCTCCCCCACAGTATAACCCCTGCTTTCACTGTATATGATGTTGGTATAATTTGTGGAGGGGAAGGGAAAAAACAAATTGTTTAACTAGGGATACAGGTGGACCCATTGCAACAGTGAGAGGTACAAGTCATTATGTCGAAAATGAACTTTACAACTTTGGTGGGGGGGAGGGTTGGTGGGGGGAAGGATGGGAAGGGATGGGAAGGGGAAACAAAGGAGAAGGCTACAATGCTTGATAAGAAATGTACTCATTATCTTGCCCATGTAATTGTAACCCCTCTGTACAGTATTTTCACAATAAAAAAAGAAAAAAAAAGGAAATGTACTCATTACCTTGCTCATGTAACTGTAACCACTCTATACAGTATTTTCACAATAAAAAACTTATTTTAAAAAAAGACATTAAAAAAAACATTAAATGAAATTCTACCCATTTTTAATGGTTCAAATTGGTAGACAACTGGTAAACAAATGCATCTTGCTGTCGAGTCCTAAATATCTTTGTTTACCAGAAATACTTCTTGGGCCAATTTTAATCGTATGTGTGTGTGTGTGTGTGTGTGTGTGTGTGTGTGTGTGTGTGTGTGTGTGTGTGTGGCCAATTTTAATCGTGTGTGTGTGTGTGTGTGTGTGTGTTTGTGTGTGTGTGTGTGTGGCCAATTTTAATCGTGTGTGTGTGTGTGTGTGTGTGTGTGTGTGTGTGTGTTCAACAGTACTGTGACTTGAATTCAGAGCCTCATGCTCTTGATTGGATTTTTTGCTGAAAGCTAGAGCTCTATCACTTGAGCCATACCTCTACTTCAGTTTTTTGCTGATGAACCAGAGACAAGAGCCTTTCATACCTGTCCACCTGGGCTGACTTTGAACCTCTGTCTTCAGACTTCAGTCTCCTGAGTAGCTACAATGATAGGTTTGAGCTACCAGTATATGTGTATCCTCTTGGATTTCTATTTCCTCAATACAATTAAAACAATTGTCATTTGTATTACCTAGTACTTCTGAAACTTTCAGCTTTATATTTTGAAATACTATTATTTGATACATAAAAATTTTATGTATGAGAGAAACTGGAAATAAAGTTTAGTGCTGGGATACTTGCTCAGCATATACAAGGCTCTGAGTCCCCAGCCTTGCAAAAACAAATTGTAATAAAGTATTGTAACAAAGCAATCACATAAAGTGATCCGATTGTCATTTAATACATTTTGGCCTTAAAAGATTAATATCAGACTGAATACTGATCAAGATTCATTGTATTCATATGTGCTTTTTTTGAATGGTAACTCCTTTGTACAACTACTTAAAGGTGGAAATAAAATAAGTAAAAGAGAAAAAAAAAGCTTATTAATAGATTGAAATCCCCTAGTCTGTTTTTTGTGGTATGTCAAGCAAGTGATAAACTACTTATGCAATTAGTTTTTAATAGGTATCTTTAACAAATGTATTGGTACTGAGACTTGAGTCCAGGCTCTTGAGCTGTTGCTTAGATTTGACTCAAGGCTGGCATGCTACCACTTGTGCCAGGCCTCCATTTCTGACTTTTTGCTGGTCAATTGGAAATAAGAGTCTCTCAGATTTGTCTGCTCAGGCTACCTTTGAACGTTGATCCTCAGATCTCAGCTTTCTGAGTAGCTACTATGACAAACATAAGCCATTAAAAAACATATATAAAATCATAATGGTTTCTAATATATGATTTATCTGACCAGCTATGTTTTAATAGAGTCTAAGAGTCTAATTTTTTCTCAGAAGGTCCTCAATATGTTAGGGTTTTTCACTCTATTTTTTTATTTTACTTTAAGTTTAAAACAATAATAATTTGAAGTTAGACACTGGTGGCTCCCACTTGTAATCTTACCTACTCGGGAGACTGAGATCTAAGGATGGCAGTTCAAAGACAGCCCAGGCAAGAAAGCCCATGATACTGTTATCTCCAATTAACCACCCAAAAAGCCAGAAGTGAGGCTGTGGATCAAGTGGTAAAACACTAGGCTTGAGCAACTATGTTCATGGACAGTGCCCAGCCTCTGAATTCAAGCCTTAAGTCTGGTACCAAAGGAAAAAAAAATGAGCCCTCTTTTCCTTGTTGTGCTCCCAAATGGAGTTTATGTTTTTAATCTTTTCCCAACTAAGTGAAGAAACATAACAAAGTAATTTCTCCTGCTCCTTAAATGTATAACCCATTATTACATAATATAACCCAGAATTCTGGACCAACATTATTGATTAGTAGTTTATTTCAGAATTGTTTTTACATTTCTATCACTATTGCTTCGATATTTATACTGATTATTGAGACCCACAGTGTTTATGGCCAGAACCACATACCAAACCTGCTGTCATGGTTTTAATCTGATGGCTCTCAAGAGTATATCTGGTGGCTGGGTGACAGGGGTGGGGCAGGGTGGGGAGGGAGCTATTCTTCATCTCTGAGATTCTGTATAGTCACTAGAAAACTTGTACCTCTCTGAGTTTGGCCCTGGTAATTTCAATGACTGTAATGGCTTTACTTACCAAGTTTCACTTCAATGGAATTGTTTTTTGGATAAATGATTTTAGGGATTCTTCCTCCATTTTCAATTCTTTCTGCTAAGAAATAAAACCCACATAACGTTCCATGAGCCCCAAATACAATATATCCAAAGTACTTCAATGTAGTATAATGAAAGATAGCATGTCACAGACCTTCAATAAGACAAAATTGAGCTACCAAAAGAATTTACTTAAGCCGTGATAGTATTTGATAATAATGTAAACTAATAACTTGCTCTAATGAACCTTATTACTTTAACAATCCAAACACACATAAACAAAGTTCTAGCTGAAGTTCTAGGGAGAGACAAATGATGACCCTAACTTACCATGATGTGTGGTTTCATTCCTCCCTCCTCCTACCTTGAAGTTCCACATTTGTTTTACATCCTTTCCTCTTCTGTTGCTCCCCAGTATCCCATGAGCACCTCTCCCTTCATGATCACCTCTCTGCCCCTCAGTCTTTCTCTACTCTTCCTCTCTATTTGCTCACCAAAACTTATCAATCACCTGCTTTGTCCCACACCTTTTTTATATATTTGGGGTGAGAGATGGAAAAGTTGTAAGACAAAAGAAAACTAGGAAAAATGCAGAAATACATGTCCTGTGTAATGATAATATTTGTGGGTTCTATAAAGCAACCCAATTTAGTAAATCCAAAAAGAAGTTAGTGCCAGCTAGTTAATGGACAATGAGCCCCTAGTTCACATTCATGTAAAACCTGGAAGTCATTCTAGGCAATAGCTTTTCATTCCTCACCATCACCAAGTCCAACAATGACTGCCTAGTCTCTGTCTCTGGCTTCACTTCTTATCCCTCATTCTTATCTCTGCTCTTTCCCTAGATAATCTCATCCACAATCACATCTTTGATTTTCATGTAAAGACCAATGACTTTCAAAATCTAAGCTCCTCTAGCCCTTCCTCTAGCCTGCAGACTCACATAGGCATGGCCTGTTCTACAACTCCTTTTGGATGTCTCAAAAGCATGTCACCTTCAACCTCTTAGTTGATCTTCCCCTCCCAAAGCTATCTTGTTGCACTGACTAGCATCACCATGCAAACAATTGCATATACGCAAAGACCCTGACCCACCTTATTCTCCATTCCCTATATTCAAGTTTTTTTTAATTGTTTTCATTTAGAGGGAAAGAAAGAACAGTTAAATACTTCTTTGACTTGTACCTTCATGTTTACCACTAATTTCTAGAAAACCTCACCTAACTAGTTCTTGATGTGTGGTTGCCCTGAGTGATATGTCTGTGCAGCATGCATGGTCTCAAGTTTGCCTCTGCAGATGCCTTGAGTACAACCAGAGCTTTCCCTCTTCATGTTACCCATGTCAGTATGACGTGGCACCTGCACTTCTGCCTAGCTCCTCACCTATCTTATGCCCGTACAAAACATTCTGTGTGCAGCACCTACCTGCTGCTTCCGAAACAAAGATCAACCCACACTACTCTCCAATTCTCAGCCCCTCTGAGTGCTCATCATTGTTCTTGAAGTGTAATCCATAGTTCCCAGTTTGGATTTTAGGGTCCTACCTGATCCCAACCTACCATGATTCCCAACATCAGTGTCACTCCAACCCACCTTGTCTGCATGACAGCATTAAATCTAATGTAACTTATCTTCTTCACTAAGAGGCTCTTAATGAAGTAAATTAAAATTAAAGGCTAACAAAACTCACTTAAATCACATAAGCTATTTGTGAGTGGGCAGGAAAGGGCTAGCATTCAGTGAGTTGCTGGACGTACATAATAAAAGGTGCACCCTGGATTAGCATCCGGGTCTCTATCAGGGAAGCAGAGACCATGCATGCTGCACAGACACATCACTCAGTGCAACCACGCATCAAGAACTAGCTAGGTGAGGTTTTCTAGAAATTAGTGATAAACATGAAGATACAAGTCAAAGAAGTATTTAACTGTTCTTTCTTTCCCTCTAAATGAAAACAATAAAAAAAAACAAGCTTCCCTCTGTCTGGTATGATAGCTCAAGTCTCTAATTTTAGCTACTCGAGAGGTGAAGGCAGCGACCTAGCTACCAGCACAGTGGCTAGACACAGTGGCAAGTGCCTGTAAGCCCAGCAATATGGAAACACAAGTAGTGGGATCACAGCCTATGACACCCCTGGTATAAAATGAAAACCTCCCTTGAAATTAATCAACACAAAAAAGAGACCAGAGGCCTGGCTCAACCAGGAGAGTGCCTGCCTAGTGACTGTGAGGCCCTGAGTTCAATCCCCACTACCACTAAAAACAATTACAAAAAGAAGGGAGAGAGAAGGAGAGAGGGAGGAAGAAAGAGAGAGGGAGAGAGAGAAAAGGAAGGAAGGAAGGAAGGAAGGAAAGAAGGAAGGAAGGAAGGAAGGAAGGAAGGAAGGAAGGAAGGAAGGAAGGAAGGAAGGAAGGAAGGAGGAAGGAAGGAAGGAAGGAAGGAAGGAGGAAGGAAGGAAGAAGGAAGGAAGGAAGGAAGGAAGGAAGGAAGGAAGGAAGGAAGGAAGGAAGGAAGGAAGGAAGGAAGGAAAGAGAGAACATAGAACAATTCCTTGTCCAGTGCATTTAATAAAGAAAGTGCTTACTTGAGCATTCAGGAACCTGTTTTTTAAATCAGTCAGCTTTGTGAACATTGATAATTTGGTCTTCTCCTAGGCCTCTGTAAGCTTGATGACTCAACTTAATTATTTTTAGGGTTTCTTCAACTTCTAAGATTCTGCTTTCAAATCCCCAGAGCATATATTTGACAGAAACATGCAGGTCAAGGTTGAGAACTGACACCCCATTAACAGGAAGTTACCCTAGAACCATATCTAAAGACCCTAAAGTTTACAGAGCTCAAGTCAAGGGAGGCCAACATTGGAATGGCCCACCAAAGTATTCACAAATGATAGCTGAAGGAAATTAGTAATAGTAATAATACCTATCATGTGCTGAACACCTACACTTTATTAGACCCTCTATCTGTGACCCTATATTTATATTCTCACTTAACTTTCACAATTAAAATTAGAATGTTAAGTATTCTGATCTGAGGAGTTTGGGGGATAGGAAAACTATGCTTGTCCATGCCCTTTGACCTAATTTGTCCTATCTTTTTTTTTTTTCTAACAGTAGCATATTTGAGATGATCATATTTTAGTGATACACTTCTGGAAAAATCAAGAGCCAGACCACCATTGCTCAAAGCCTGAAGCCAGCCAGCTTATGAAAAGCCAAAAGGAAAACTAAGCAACAGATGTGAACATACTTACTGATGTCCACCGAGATGCTATTTAAAACTGTGTACTGTGCCCCTGCATGATTCAATATAGCTTTGCAGGCATAACTCCCACTGTCCTGTTCAGACACAGTGTTCACATAAAGTCTCATCCCTCGAGGTTCAAACTGCTTCCCTATTGATTCAATCTCTTCACAGCCCTAAATTCAAAAATAAATAAGTAAATTTAATGAGTATTTGGGAATACTAGTTGTGTTCTCGATTAGCAATAAGAAAACTATGCTTAGACTTTTGATTATTCACAATCTAACTAGAAGACAATAGAAATAGGTAAATGATAGATAGATATAATATGTAGATAGATAGAAAATAGAGATAAAAGACACATGATAACATACATGATAGGTAGTATATAATTCATTTATACATACATACATAATATACACATACATACATATAAGGATAGATGGGTGTATACACACATGCAAGGGCTAGATGGTTGGAGATGACAGGTAGATAGATGAATGGATGGGTAGTTAGTATGCTAATTAGTTTGTCATCACTGTGACAAAATCCCTGACAGTGCAAATTTAAGGGATAAAAGAATTACGTGCATGGTTTCAGATATTTTAGTTCATCTAAAGGAAGGCAAGGAAAAGAGCTGATCACAGCAACCAAGAAGCAGAGGCAAAAGAATAACTACAGAGGCTGGATTTCTTCTTTTGCACCTCTTATATTCATCTGGGGCTCCAGCCTATGAGATGGTACCACCTTCATCAAAGCAGGCCTTCCCCTCTTAATGAATTCTGTCTGGAAACATTCTCACATATACTCCCGCAGGTATCTTCTCCTAGTCTCCTTGGCACTTCCCATTCCAGTCAAGTTGATAATCAAGATTTGCCATCAAAGAAAGTAAATAGGTAGATGTATAAACAATAGAGAGGTAGATAGATAGATAGATAGACAGACAGACTGATAGATAGATGCATATATACATAATGCATGCGTAGAAAGATAGATATTGCAAGCCCAGGTGAATAATGATTATGTCACTTATCTCGCAGATGAAATTGCCCTTCTCCAAGGGAGACCTTAACATTGAAAACAAACCTGGGCTGAGCTATGGAGAGCAATGTGATGTAACTTTTTCTGTCACCTAGGCCTCACCCAAATGAGTTGTCTTGAGAATGTCTTTGTCTCTTGCTATATCCAGAAACCACCCAGAGGAATAGTCTCACATTCCTCTGTTCTGTCAGCAGCTGACATTCTTATATTAACCATCTTCACTTCATGGGCCCAATTCTGAACTTTCTCAGGCCTGTTTGTCCTTTTGGAAGCTCCACTCTACAGAGGGACTGCTTGACTAATGGAGTCCTTTTCAGCACCCAAACATTTGAGTTGTTGCTCTTTATCAACACTTTGAGAGACCTCCACAACGCAGGAATAAGATATAGTTACTGCCATCAGAAGGCTCCCAATCTATTAGATAAAGTACACATTAAAAAAACCCTCAATTAAATAAAAACTATAACTAGTACAAAACTTAGTATTGTACCTTGTCCTCACTTGCCAGCCACAGTGTAGAACCATATTTCTTTCTCTTACCCAAAACAGTGTGAGTAAAACTACTTCCATGGTGAAATTCAACAATTAATTAGTGCCAGAACAAGTGTTTGCTTACAACATGTAATATGACATTCCAGAAATCCTACATATTCCCTATACTGGATGCTAAGTTATCTTCAAGAGTCAAGTGGATAAAAGCATTACACTTGATAATATGATATCTCCTTCAGGATGCAGATATAAAGAAATCTGAGTCCTTGGACTTCGGAAAACACTTTCTTAGGAAGTCTTTACTTGAAAATCCCAATTAGTTCTAATCCATTGGGACGTTGCTTCAGAATGTAAACCCTCTGCAAGACTTACTTTATATGTCAAAATTATCAAGATTTGAAATTAAAATATAAATAATAATAGCAACCAACATATAAATTCCTTTTTACTCTAGGAACCCAGAAGAACACTGCTAATTGAGCATGTGCAATGCTTCAGATACACTAATCAACCTAGAGCATTCAGGCAAAGAAGCATTGAGTATTGGTGGAAGTAAAGGAATCCAATCATAGAAAACTAGAAAAAGAGAATGGATACTTGAAATTTAAGAAGTAAGAAAGATCATTTGTTTGTTAGTGTGTGTGTGTGTGTGTGTGTGTGTGTGTGTGTGTGTGTGTGTGTGTGTGTGTTGCTTTGTTTTGAGAACAAACCTTCTTGCACTGGGCAGAAAAGAATAAAAAGGGGTACTACTAGGTACCCCTTTGTAACTAAGTAGTTACAATGCAATTGCCTTAAGCTAATGGTAAATAAAGTCTAAATGACAGCAGAGACAGCATAAAGAGAACACAAAGAACTTTTGTTCCATAGAACTCAATGAACTTATTCCATCAAATTCAAATCTGAGAAAGAGCAGGTCTTTGACATGTCCAGAATGATCAAAAGAGAAGATAGAAGACAGAAGAATCAAGTAGCAAAATCGTTGACAGGGGACTCCAAAGTAACTGTGCTTAATTTGTTTAGATTAAAAGGTAACACTGAGAAATGGAAACACTATAATTAAACAACATAATTAACAAGCTTAAATTTCAGTATTAATGATTAATTAATTAATTTTATAAATGTACTTTTGAGTACATTTACAAAACCTTTTGAGGAGCATTTACAAAAGTTGACTATATGCTATACTATAAATCTAGTCTCAACAAATTTCTAAGTACTGAAATTATATATATTTTCACTTCCATAATGCAAGCAACAGTTATGTTTAAAAAGGAAAGCACACTGCATTGGCAAATTAACCCATCTTCCAAAATTATCTATAGTCAGAGAAGAAATTACATTGAAAATTGGTATATTTTGAATTGGTTGATGAAAGCATAATATATCAAAATGTGAAGAATGCAACCAAAATTCAATTTAAAAGGATGCTAGAGCACCAAGTAGAAATAGATGCATTTGTAGGCATTCTGAACCTACCAAAATTAAGTCAAGAAGATATAAACCATATAAGCTTAATCCCTAATATCCAAAAACTGGAAACAACTAGCAACAATAATAATCAATATTATACAGTAACAAAAATGGATGAGCTACAGATACATGCCAAAATGTGGATGATTTACACATGTTTACCATTGATGCAAAGAAATAAGACATGCAATACTATGCATAATATATTCAAATTAAGTTCAAGCACTCAAATCTGATCTCTGATAGTGCCTATCAGAGGAGTGGTTATCTTTGGTAGTTTCTGCAGAATAGCAGGGGTGAAGTTTTGGAGGTTGTAGTAATGTTTATTACTACACCATAATGACAGGGGTAATTAAAGATGCGTTCCTCTCTCAGCTCATCAAAGTTTGTCCACTTAAGATTTATGTACTTTCTACGTGTATGTTAGACTTCAATAAAGAAGATGTTTAGTACATACCCATCTGTAATCTAGATAGAACTATAAAAACATCTCTAAGCCAGTCAGAAAATAATAAGAAAAAGAAAAACAAAAAATGGCTAAATATATGGAAAGGAAGGGATTCAGAAATGGTCAGTAAGCAGAAAAAAATGTCAATCTCATTAATAATTCGGGAGATAAACTAAGATAACAGTGCAACATTTATGTTCACTAAACTGGTTTTTTAAACTTAAATCTTACAATTGTACAGTCATGCACAGTTGTTGCAAATCTTGAACATTCTTGATGAGAGAACAAATGGATACAAATATTTGTACAGTGGTTTGGCAAAAAAGTAAATAAAGTAAGATGCCTTAGAGTATCTCTACCATTTTGCAATTCTAGAGCTTGTGGTGATCACATGCATTTAATGCACAAGCAAAGATGCATAGAGACAGATATGAGGACATTCATGGGGAGACATTTCCAAAGTACTTGCAAAGGAAAAAAAAAAACAACCTAAGTGAATACAAATGCAGAGGGGGCCCTTTGGAAATACTAATAGAACTGACAATTTTCTCAAAAATTAAAGTGTGGTTTTCTGTATATATGTGCATGTGTGTATACACATGTGTGTGCATTAACATGCGTGTGTGTATCCACTTGGGGTGGATGGGTACAGGGAGAAAGAAGAAGAGAACAGATATATATTGTAATAAGAGATGAAGGTGAGACTCACTAGAGAAGCAAACATTAAAGAGAAGAAATTATATACAACATGCCAGTGTAGATGAAGCCTTTGATGAAATGTTCAATTTACTGGAAAACAGTCTTCCCAGAACTCACTCAATCAAAAGTAAAGCATTTGTATAATCCTAACACCACTTGAGGAGGGAGGAGTACTGAATCACTTGCCCTGTCTCCTCTAACCCCTCTTATTCAACAGCTGTCAGTGAGTATTTTATATGATCTTCATAATTTATATTTCAATACTATGGAGCAAAGGGAGAGAGAGTGATGCATAGGATTAATGTGATTAATGATCATGTGCACACATGTGAATTACCATGATGGTGAAACTCTTTAGTCCAATTAATATAAATAAAAAAAGATGAAAAAAATTACAGGAAAGTAAAACAGGATGTCTTATTGTGGGATGGATACCCATAAGAGAGCCAAAGACCATTGGAGAAGGTGGATATGGTCTCGTCTAAGTATTTTCTACAACAATGGAACCTGTTGAAACTATTCAGGAGGCTGAGATCTTGAGAATGTCCATTTTAAGCCAGTCTGGGCGGACAGATTGGAAAGACTTTTATCTCCAATTAATCAGTAAAAATAAGCCAGGAGTGGAGGTGTGGCCCAAGTGGTTGAGCACCAGCCTAAGCCAAAGAGCCAAGCGAGAACACGAGATACACACACACACACACACACACACACACACACACACACACACACAGAGGAATCTATCAAAATTGTTCTAAGGGGGGAAAAAGGATGAGGAAGAGAGATGGAGACGATCAGAATACATTCATTATATGTATGCATAGAAATATCATATTGAAACCCCCTCTATAACTAACATGGGCTAATGAAAACAATTGTCAAAAAATGGGATCAATTGATGAAAATTCATAAAAAAAATTCATAGCTGGGCATTAGTGGCTCATATCAGTAATTCTAGCTACTTAGGAGGCTGAGATCTAAGGATCCCCTTTCCAAGTCAGCCCAAACAGGAAAGTCCCTAAGCCTCTTATCTCCAAAAAAATCCAGAAGTTGGGCTGTGGCTCAAGTGGTAGAGAGCCAGCTTTGAACAAAATAGCTCAGGGAGAGCACTCAGGCCTTGAATTCAAGTGCCAAAACTGGCACATGCACACACAAAGAGAACCTTCATGATCCAGATGGCCATGATGGCAAGTGCTAATAAGCAGAGTAAATCAAATTGCTTTCTGAGCTCTTCTATGCCAAGGGTTAGGTCTTCTGCATCTATGTAGCATCACAGTCAATGAGAGTGTCACATGAAAACCCAAGATGCAGAAAGATGAGCACAAGAGACTCAGATTGCACTAAAAAGAAGAGACTAGAGAATATATTTTTATCTGTTTGTATAGCTTTACATAATGGGATAATAAGAGAAACTGATCATGGTAACTACTTTATTGGTTAAGGTAAGATAAGTCCAGAGCAGACTTGAAATAGAAATGAGAGCAATGTTTTCTTGGGAATGATTTCCTGTGATTTTGATTGTTGAGTCACTTGCAATGAAACAGGAGCCATTCTAGCAAACTAATGTTAGAGGGGAAAGAAAGAAGAATAGACTAGCCTGAAAATAAGAATAGTGGCATTGATCAAGATGTGTTGTGCTTATAAACTGGTTTATTGAATTGAAACCTCTTTGTACAACTACCTGAAGATAACAAACAAACAATAAATAAAAAATAATTGGAAAGATAAATGGAGAAGTGTAGAGGGCACCAATAACAAAATATTACAAAGTCATCAGAACCATGAAATGTAAAATAAGTAACACAGTAATATTAAGGTAATAATAAATAGGGTAATGTCATTAGCTAAGAATAGAAAATCTATCAAGCTCACATAAATACCCTTACCAAATTTATCTTGAAGATTCAGTTTAATCTAGAAAAATGTGACTATTTTATAAAGAAGACCAAAAATATCAATAGAATAGGTTGTTGTTTTTTATTTTTTTACCTTATACCACTTTATTGAATCCACGAGCAAAGTCTCTGGGAAATTCAGGTGGCACATGAGACTGCCAGATATTCCCAGATGGAGTGTTTGTTGGTACTCATCTGACAAATTTTCTAGAGTCGTTCTGGAAGTGGCACACCAGTGTTTTATAAAAACAGTGAGGTTCATGGGTATTCTGTAACAACTGTTGGCATTCCTATGGGATAGTAGCAGATTGAAACCTGTCAACTCTCAGTCACAAACTCAAGCAATTCAGTTCATCACAGCTTTTCAAATCACTTCCAAAGCACTGTGCAAACCCTTTACTTCAAGCAAAACATTAGGCATCCTGTGATCACTCAGCAGAATGCAACACATTCTCTCCTGTATCTACGTAGTAGAAAAACTGTCAATACATTAATCAAGTAACCCAAATGAACATGGCCTATGAGGGAAAAGTGTCCACTAGAGTCTGTGGTGCCACTGATCTGCAGAGGACATAACGCACATACCTAGTATTCTAGCACAGAACCACACCTAGACCTAATCATGAAGAAATACCTGACAAACAAAGGAAGGCTATAATATAAAAAGGAATTTTCTGAGGGGGGGGGGAGGGAATTGGGTGGGGAAGAGGATGGGAAGGGATGGGAAGGGGAAACAAAGGAGGAGGCTACAATGCTTGATAAGAAATGTACTCATTATCTTGCCCATGTAATTGTAACCCCTCTGTACAGTATTTTCACAATAAAATAAATAAATAAATAAAAAGGAATTTTCCTTGTACTCCTTAAAATGTCAATGTAAAAAAAAAGACCCTCAATGCTATGAAAAACAAAGATCAAAGAACTGCTCTATATTAAAAGATACTCTTAATAGTGTGAGCCACATGCAAAGAATAATTCTGTACTGAACCATATTCAGCAAAGTAAAAAGCTACACAGGCCACTATTGTGGTCATGGATAAGATGCAAATATAAACAAAGAGGAAACTGTGGTATGACTGTTTAATTTCCTGAATTTGTTAACTACACTGTAATTATGTAAGGCAATATTCTTGCTACTGGGAAATACATATTAAAATCTTAAATGTTAAAAAGAGGAAGGATGAGAACAACTGAAACAGTTTAGAAAAAAAATGTAGTGTATAATGAACATTCATATACCCATAAAGAGAAAACAGCATAAGAAAAATGTGGAGAAATCATCTTAAAAATGGAAACCTATCTGGGTGCTAACAGCTCACACCTGTAATCCTGGCTACTCAGGAGGCCGAGATCTGAGAGTCACAGTTTGAAGCCTGGGCAGACAAATAGTGAGAACAATTTTCTCCAATTAACCACCAAAAAACAAAAACAAAAACAAAACCCAGAAGTGAAGGTGTGGCTCAAGCAGTAAGACACCAGCCATAAGTGAAAACACCAAGTGAGGAATGCGAGTTCTCTCACTGGGGAGTTCAAACCTCAGTACACACACACACACACACACACACACACACACACACACACACACACATACACACACACACACACACGCATACACACACGCACACACACACACACACACACACATACACACACACGCACACACACACACACACACACACACACACACACACACACACACACCTGGAAATCTAGGTAAAGAATGGCAGAGAAATTTTACATCATTTTGTAAATTTTTTTTTTTTTGCAGGTTTGGTGGGTAGGCTAGTCTAGACTTTGATCATTCCTAGTTAAGTTTGCTGATGCAATTGGATTGATAGGTGCATACCACCACACAGCTTTTTCAGTTGATAGAGTCTCATTAATTTTTTGGTCCTGGCTTGTCTTAAATTACTATCCTCTCCATCTAGGCCTCCTAAGTAATTAGGATTACAGCTGTGAGCCATGACACCCATACCATTTTGCAAGTTTTTTTTTGTATATTTGAAAATATTTCAAAGTAAAAATTTAAAAATAACAATACTAACCATATCTTGCTTTAAAAGGTGAAAGGGTTTTATTCCTACATGGTTAGGCTTTTACAACAGCATTTGCATTTCAAGAAGGAAACCAACAATAAGATTAGTACAGACATACTTTGCAAGTGAATTTCAATGAAAGCATCATTTCAAAAGGAAAAGATTCATGTTCCAAAACTGGCTTACCAATATGCTGTATTTTAGCTGGGTATCAGTGGCTCTCAACTCAGGAGGTAAGGAACTCAGGAGGCTGAGATCTGAGGATCAAGGTTCAAAGCAATCCTGAGGAAAGTCATGAGACTCTTATCCCCAGTTAAGCACCAAAAAGCCAAAAGTAGAGCTGTAATTCAAGTAGTAGAGTGCTAGCCTTGAACAACAAAGGTAAGGGACAGTGCCCAGTCCCAGAGTTCAAGTCCCAGCACCAGCATACCACACACATACACACACACACACACACACACACACACACACACACACACACAGAGTATTTTAAAATGTATTCACTGGGAGTCATCTTTTAACAATTATAAAGCCATATGATATTATTTAGCACATCACATTTTCGGTTCATTAACAATTTCCTTAAAGATACATAAATAGAGAGAGATTAATTCATTCTATTTTAAGTGAGTGACCTACTTTATAATACATTGGTAGATCCCGGAGTCCTCTAGTTTCAAGGGAAGAAATAAAATCCATGTTTGTTCCTGGTGAATTCTGTGTTGTATGTCTTTGGAGACTTGACTTTTTCTAGGATTAAACCATGTTACACGTACTTCCTCATTTGGTATTGAAGGTTTCGTGCAATTGAAAGCAAAAGCCTGGTCCACAGCTATTACCTCATTTCTCATTCTAGCAACCTCACACATATCTGGAGAAATAAAATGAATAAATAAGGATAACCAATAACCATGAGCTGGGAGCTGATGGCTCATGCCTTTAACCCTAGCAACTCAGGAGGCTGAGAATTGCAGATTGAAGGCAGACCAGACCTGAGAAGCTTATCTCCAATGAACTGCCTAAACAGCCAGAAGTGGAGCATTGGCTCATGTGATGGAGCACTAGCCTTAAGCATAAAAGTTTGGGGAAAGTGTCTAGGCTCCGAATTCAAGCCCCAGAAGTGGAAAGAAAGAAAGAAAGAAAGAAAGAAAGAAAGAAAGAAAGAAAGAAAGAAAGAAAGAAAGAAAGAAAGAAAGAAAGAAAGAAAGAAAGAAAGAAAGAAAGAAGGAAGGAAGGAAGGAAAGAGAGAGAAAGAAAGAAAGAGAAAGAGAGAGAGAGAAAGAAAGAGAGAAAGAGAGAAGAAAGAAAGGAAGAGAGAAAGAGAGAAAAAGACAGAAAGAAAGAAAGAGAGAGAGAAAGAAAGAAAGAAAAAGAAAGAAAGAAAGAGGAAAGAAAGACAGAAAGAAGAAAGAGGAAGGAAGGAGAAAGACAGACAGACAGAAAGAAAGAAAGAAAAGAGGAAGGAAGGAAAGAGAAAGAACGACAGGCAGAAAGAAAGAAAGAAAGACAAAGAAAGAAAGAAAGAGGAAGGAAGGAATGAGAAAGCCAGACAGACAGACAGACAGACAGAAAGAAAGAAAGAAAGAAAGAAAGAAAGAGGAAGGAAGGAAAGAGAAAGAAAGACAGATAGAAAGAAAGAAAGAGAGAGAGGGAGAAGAGAAAGAAAGAGAAAGAAAGAAAGAGAGAGGAAGGAAGGAAGGAAGGAAGGAAGGAAGGAAGGAAGGAAGGAAGGAAGGAAGGAAGGGAAGGAAAGAAGGAAGGAAGGAGAGAGAAAGAAGAAAGAAAACGAGAGAAAGAGAAAGAAAAGAAGGAAGAAGGAAGGAAGGAAAGAAGGAAGGAGAGAAAGAAAGAGAGAGAAGGAAGGAAGGAGGGAAGGAAGGAAGGAAGAAAGGAAGGAAGGAAGGAAGGAGGGAAGGAAGGAAGGAAGAAAGGAAGGAAGGAAGGAAAAGAAAAAAGAAAAAAACCTTAAAGTTATTATCTACCAAGCGGCGTTGTTTTTCTTCTATTTGTCCTGTAGCTAGCTAGCGTCACTTTATCCTAGATCAAGGCATTTTTTTCCTTGATAAAGGCAGTACAGCATCCATGTAACCATCTTAACTCGGGTTTTGACTTGAATAGCTGCCGAAATTTCCCCCCTCCCAAAGTCACCAGCAGCTCCCAGGGACCTTTGGGGCTGAGCATCAGAGAACATGGGTTTGGAACTTGCTGTGCCAGGTCCTCAGAATTCCTCCTGGCCAACGGGGAAGCTGGAGGCAGGCGGGGCAGGTCTTGAGGCTACTGGGATGTCCCCAAAGTCCTCCTAGGGGGATGGCGATCGGGGTACGCAGGAGGACGCAGGGAACTTACCTGCTCCTGCTCCGCCGGCAAGTGGAAGCGCGAAGACCGCCCCCGCAGAGCAGCCAAGCCAGCACCCCCATTTGAGGCTACGGAGGAGAAAGGAGACAATGGGAGAGGGAGGGAGAAATGAACGTGCCCTCCCCTCCAGAAGCGTCTCAGGGATCCCGGCCCAGGCTCACCTTCAGAATGGGGAGCTGTCCATCTTCTGCTCCGCAAAACCCGGCCCTTCCCAGCTCCTGTTCGCTCCCTGCGCGCGCCTTCGCTTAGAACCCAAGGAGCTGAGAGCTGTGGGTGGAGGGGCGGGTGGGTAAGGGTTAGGAGGCGGCGGGGACTGGGGGGGGTGGACCGGGTGGCACCCCTTTCTGTCACCTGGCAGCGAGGCTGAGTGGGTCCTGTGTTCCCAGGGGGGCCTTGGCCAAGCATCCCAGCGCAACCCTCAAGTCCCAGCCTGCCTCCCCGATCCCCTCCCGAATGGTGATTCCATGCACCCCGAACTGCTGCCCAGGACCACCTGGAAGGGAGAGACAGAGAAGGGAGGGAGGAAAACCGAGGACCACCAGACCTGAGGGACCTTGGCCAGGACCCCTAAGTCGCCCAACCGGTCCGGGACGCGCCCAGCAGTCCTGATCTCTGGCTCCCTCCAAGTCTTTCCCAAGGCTGGCGCCCCACCCACACCTGACTCAGCCGCAGATCCTGGTTAGTTAGCATCCACCTTGCCAGTGGGGCTGGGGGAGCAGGATGTCCCGGTGGAAAGCAGAACACCGGACAGGAACCGAAACGTCCCGTGGCATTTTGAAGCCTGGGTGTTTCCTGCCGCCAAGGGCGGGCAGTCCTACCTTGACTGTTGAGCGCTGTTGAGGAAGTGAGAGGAAGCTCTCTTCACCGGATTAGTTCTTCACCGTTCACTCCTTTCCGAATCCCAATTGAGCAGTCTTGACTTGTCCTGAATCGCCCTGTATGGAAGGCGCCCTATACGGCTTCTAAGAAAGGTTATTCAATGGCTGAGTCACACCTGAGCCTTGGGGAAAGCACACCTCTCTCCAGGGTGATTCTGCTGCCCTGACTGATCCTAAGGATGTCCACAGAGACCTGTTGCCCAGGCGGGCAGGAGAAACCCCAGAGACACTGCTGCTGGGAGGAAGGAAAAGACATAAATCGAAATCACTGTTCCTGGTGGTGTTCTTGGGATAGAAATCGGGAAGCAACAAAGGAGGAGGCAACAATGCTTGATAAGAAATGTACTCACTACCTTGCCCATGTAATTGTAACCCCTCTGTACGGTATTTTCACAAGAAGAAGAAGAAGAAGAAGAAGAAGAAGAAGAAGAAGAAGAAGAAGAAGAAGAAGAAGAAGAAGAAGAAGAAGAAGAAGAAGAAGAAGAAGAAGAAGAAGAAGAAGAAGAAGAAGAAGAAGAAGAAAAAGAAGAAGAAGAAGAAGGAAGAGGAAGAGAAGAAGAGAAGAAGAAGAAGAAGAAGAAGAAGAAGAAGAAGAAGAAGAAGAAGAAGAAGAAGAAGAAGAAGAAGAAGAAGAAGAAGAAGAAGAAGGAAGAGGAAGAGGAAGAGAAGAAGAGAAGAAGAAGAAGAAGAAGAAGAAGAAGAAGAAGAAGAAGAAGAAGAAGAAGAAGAAGAAGAAGAAGAAGAAGAAGAAGAAGAAGAAGAAATTGAGAAGCAAAAGCAATTGTGAGAGTAAAGGTGGGAATTGTATGCACTGACCTGTTGCATCATGCTATTTGGCCAGTGGTTTGCAAATGTCGACACTATTAGAAAGCATTGAGCCTTTCAGCTGGGTGCAGTGGCTCATATCTGTAATTTCAGCTGCGCAGAAGTTAGAGCTGCAAAGAATCTCAGTTCTAGTTAAGAACCCCAACCCCCATTTCAGCCAATAAACCAGGTGTGATCATCACATCGATAATATCAGCTGTACAAAAAGCATTTGATAGGTACTGTGGAAGACTATAGCCACAAACCACTAAGAAGGAAAAGCATGATTTTAGCTGAAAAATAACCAAAGCAATAAATAATAACAACAATGATAAAAGGTCTGGAGGTGTGGCACAAGTAGTGAAGTGTTTGTAAGTACAAGATCCTGAGTTGAAATCCCAGTACTGCAAAAAAAAAAAAAAAAAGTATTGGGGATTCTAACACTTTATGTGTGGCAAACATCAAAAATAGCCTATTAAAAATTTGAGAGAAGCATCTAAAAATCACTTTCTTTCTTATTTTAAATAATAACAATAACCTCATTTGTCACATGTTACCTTAAATATCATGTTTTAGGGGGGGAAATGACTCCCTCCTAAAGAGACTTACTTGAAGAAATAGACTTTTTCCCCATGTCAGCTAGCCCTTTGAGTGTCCAGCCATTGGAAGATGAAGTGTATTCTCATGTCTACCCACGTGTAGAGTGGAGACTGCTGGGTGTGGGAGAGGGGGGCAGATAAAGGAAGTTTGGACTTGGCCAGCCATGCTATATGTGTGCATTGAGATATCACTCTAAACCCAACTGATATACACAAGTGATACAAATTAATCATTTTAAAATCTTTAAGATAACAGGAAATTAGGACATGTGCTGCAAGTTCTTAATTACCCTGATAAATCTCAGGAACTGGACAGCATCGTTGACTAATAAAAAAGAGGAAGGAAGAATTCAAAGGAAATTGTTTAGAGAAGTTGTTGGTGGGTAACTGTACATGAGCTTTGCCATGGCCAGTAGCAGTAGCACCTCACACTGAAGCAGAAGAAAGCTTCCCACAGAAAATGGAGCAGAAATACCTTCATTTGCACTGACACAGTGTTATAAAAACCCAGCTTTTATCTGGGGGCAGGAATGCATAGCAGACCATATTACTAGACATGTGCTCTACTACATATGCCACACCCTCATCCTGGATTTGCTTTACTTATTTTTGGGTTAGAATCTTGCGTTTTTTTTGCCTAGGCCAACATAAGCTATGATCCTCCAATTTCCACTTCCTGAATAGCAAGGATAATATGCATGTTCCACTACACCAAGCTATAGATTGACATGGGGTCTCCCTAACTTTTTGCCTGAGCCGGCCTCAAATCATGAGCCTCTCAATCTCACCTCCCTTGAGGCTGGGACTACAAGCCTGAGCTACTGTGCCTGGCCTACAATGGTATCCTTTTAAATGTTATCCATACTACTAAAGTCCGATATTATCCCAGCCTTAAAATCTTATCCTTACCACTAAAGTCTACCAAAATGGCTACGATTAAGAAGACTGAACAATGCCAAATGTGGACAAGGATGGGTTCCATATACCGCTGGTAGGAGGCAAGTTGTCATAGCCACTTAGGCAAATGATTTGGTGGCATTTACTAAAACTAACTCAGCAAGTTTATTCTGAAGCCTTTCCCAAATATGAATGCACCATAGGGGTAGAGAAAATCTCAACCTGTGTCTTCATTAAGACACTCTGGGTCTATTAAAAGAATATAGTGATAATCATGGCCTGGAATCTAACCTACTGCTGCTAAGCTTTCTCAGATAACCCCTTTCTCCAGATCAAGAGCCTACCCAGAGTCTCACCTGTAAACATTGTTTACCTAAATAGTGCCATCAGCCGAAGACCAAGCAAATAAGATGGCTGAAGAGAGAAAATGGAGTGCAAGCCAAGGCAGAACTAGACACATATGCATAAGCAGAAATGGGTTCCCTGTGGGAACATACTCCCTCACTAAAGAAATCTAAGAAATTTCATTCCCAGGAACACACTGAATAAAAAGAAAACCTATGAACCCTGTGAAATGGTTATCAATGAAGCCTTTCTCAGAACAGGAAGCATAAGCCAAATGACATTTGTGATCACTTCCAGATCAAATGCCCTAACATAAACAGCCTTCATACACTTTCGCTCTGTGATTACATATTGCCCTCAGCTGGTTGAGCACAGTGCCAGAGATGTCAACATGATCCTATAAGCCTAGATTCAAGTTGTACAGGTTCAACTGGTCTAATGGCTACAAACTTTAGAGACTGCTGTTGGTATTTGGGCTTCAGATTTAAGATGAACAATACAAGACTTACGTAAATCAACCAAACCTTCCTCAGAAAAACCTGAGCCAAGTGTGGTAAAAGGGTAAGAAGAGCATGTTTCTGTTTTGAAGGGTTAATATTCATTTTAAACAGTACCATCTCTTTCCTCTCATTCTTCGCCATAATCTGTCTCTGTCTCCATCTCTCTGTCTCTCTCTTTCTGAATTTATAAAATAAATATTATTTTACCCATGCACATTTTCATATGTACTCTATATTTCTTTTTTTTTGGGGGGGGGGAGTCCAGTCGTGGGGCCTGAACTCTGGGCCTGGGTGCTGTCCCTCAGCTCTTTAGCTCAAGGCTAGCACTCTACCACTTGAGCCACAGTGCCACTTCCGGCTTTTTTTCTTTTTGCTTATGTGGTACTGAGGAATCGAACCCAGGGCCTCAGGCATGCAAGGCAAGCGCTCTACCACTGAGCCACCTTCCCAGCCCCCTGTACTCTATATTTCTTATCCTAAGAATTCTTCCCCCATAGTGATTCATTTATGCATTTAATTTTAGTGAAAGCAGACAAACTTCATTTTACTTGAAATGATCAAGTCAAATTAAGAAAATACATTTTGAGATTCTCTCCAAGTATGGGCTTTTCATACATTAAGACCTTGTGGTGTTGAAGATCTCTTTTACAAATGACAAAACCAGAGTTCAGGACACCTAGCTCAGGGCCTTGCTCTAACTGTAATCTTGTGACAGTTCAGGCATCTGTGACTCAGGGCTTTTCCATCAGATGGGGTTCTTGGGAGAAAAAAAATCACTCCAGAGGGCCCCCTACCTCTGAAAAATCTATTTTGTATTGAATCATGAAATGTTATTTTATAAAGAGAAAAACAGAACTTTCTAATAGAGATTAAAAAATGAACTTTAAAAAATTAACTGGTAAAAGTATGACAACATGGTAGAAGACTACACCCTTTAGATGAGAAATTTTGAATAAATAAGTTTTCTAGCATCTACATTTTAGTGTCATGAGGGATTGGTGAGGCATTGCTGTGGAATATGACCAATCTGTTATATAAAAACCGACAAAGCTGTCAATGTTTAGAGCTCTAAGCATTCCTTCACATTTGAGCGCATTGGAGAGCTGAGCAGGGATCCATTTCTGTGCTACACATCTCCATGTTTAATTCCAATGTCTCAGCATCCAATTCTAATTCTTAAGAGCCCCTCTAGATTACCACTTCTCTACATCCACTCTACTGGAAGGTCCTATTAGGACTCAAAAGAATCAAATATATTAATAGAAAAGCTACTAACAAAGTTGCCATTTTTCCGACCTCATGTAATTCTAGGAATTAGGTGTATTGTGCATTTAATAGGTAAGGGAACTGAAGCCCAATAATTTGTCTAAGGTCTCATGCCATGTAGATGGTGAAGGCAGCATTTCTTGTGGAGTCTCTGGGGCTCTCAGCTCTACCCATTGAGAGTACTGGAAGATAAGAACAAAGGGACTCTGAGTAACAGGTGCAAATGTTCTCAGAGATCATTAGAATTTACCAGCTTTGCAGCATACATTTTGGACACTTTATTCACTTTATTCACCACCTTGGGGTGGCTGTGGAGATGGCAGGCAAAGAAACAGAC